TATATATATATATATATATATATATATATATATAACTAAAATTAAATTTACAACTACAACTTTTCTAAATAAACAAATACTTTCATTTTAAAATAAAGAGACCAAAATTACATATTACTTATTAATGTTAAATATAATTTAAATACAATTTCTTTTTGATCCTTTGAAACATTTTCTAAGAACAAAAATTATGAAAAAACTATAAATTTTATATCTCTTTCCATCCTTTGAAAAGTCGTTTATAAACAAAACTTTGACTCAACTCCAAACTCTATATCTTGAATGCAATATTTAACCCTCATAACATAAATTGAAGAAAATTGTAGTTAAATCTTAAGAAAAACAATCCATTCTTTACTTACATTGCCCACAATAGACTCGGCTAGATTATTTATTACCATATATTTAAAGTGAAAATGGTAAAATTTTTGCAGATACTAAGGTGTGGTCCACCAGCAATGAACACAGCCATGGCTACTCACCTTGATGCACTTGGCTACACATCAGACATGCAGTTCCAATTCTAAGTTTCAATCTAATTCCTTTCATTCTATTCTTCTTCTTACCTACTTTTCATATGTGTGTGCTTAGCAAATTTAATCACATTATTCATTTGAAGACAGTTGATGTAAAGTGATGAGAGTGACACTTATCAGCTTAGTGTTTCTTTCTACTTGCCAAACAGCCAAATGTGCATAATAAAAATGCTCCTCCTAATTGTGACTACCAAATAAATATATATGCCTTGAGTATTTCCAGAAACTATTTTAATGGCTAAATATTTAAAGATTTCAAAAATTTTAAGGAATTTATTTACTTTTCTTTAATAAACAATACAAAATATGTATTATCAATTGAAGGTGCACTTTACAAATCTGATTCACATGAGAAATTGAATGAATACAAAAAATGCATTATGTCGTGCTTATATCATGGTTCTTGTTACTAACTGAAATAGAATAACAAATACTAACTAAAAGACAATGTGTATAAGCTTTGCATTAACATCTTTTCATTTCAAGTATTATAATCCTTCTTCACAATGATTACAGTAAGTATCCTCTACAAAGAAACTATCACATTGATTAAAGCACCGTAAAACGTTTCTTGTAATTTTTTTCCTTTCTTGGCTTGAATTCAACCAGCCTGGGACTCTTAAGCATGACTATGGTTAGCCTGTACCCACAAGGCATAAATTTCCCGATCTTTTACTCTGCATAAATGCCAATATAACACTTTACAAATAAATTATATGAAAATGAACAAAATCATATTATATCATTGCAACATTTTACACCAGAAACCAATAGGACAATGTGAAAAGAATGAAATAAAAGTGAATTTTTTTCTTCATATGTGAAGGAATTCAATGAATGTCTCTAGTATGATTTAAAATGATTAAAAAAACATCGGAAAGATAAATAAAAAAAACAAAAACAAAAAAACAGTAAGGACAAGTGGTCTAGAAATATTGAGCAAGCATAATATAACGTAGGCTTAATAATACCATATAAAATTTTAACTAAAGGGGGAACAGACGTGATTAGAGTATCATGAAGTCAAAACTACAGGTTAAGTATAGAAATTTTACTTACAAATGTATATCATCTCGATCAATTTCAGGGAACAAGTTAATATAGAAGCGAAATCCATCGGGACTTATATCTCTGCACAGTAAACCTGGGAAAGATTCCATGAAAGTCAGTATTAGAGAAGTATTTTACTATGTATAACAGTCGGTAGTACATGTATAACAGTCAGTATTAGACGTATAGTTGGTTAAAGTCTGTTACGTCTGACACTCTTTATGTTTTATCCTACAGACTGTTCAATGTTACACAGCTACATATAGCTGATCTCTTTACGTATAGTTGGCGCGTGATTCGAATAGTTTGAGCATTCAGTTGTATTTGGAAGCTGTCTCTGTTCTTCCTCAGCTTCGTTTTATGCAGAATGCGAGATGGTTGAAACATTTACAGGGTACTATGTATTCGCTCTAGGTGTTTCTAGATTCGTGGCTCTGGCTTATTGGATAATTCAGATCTAAGAGACCAGAGGAACATATTTATTTTTGGCTGGAAGTGGCTATTTTTGGTTTTTGGCAGCTTTTATGGCTGAGATGGTTCAATCCTTCATCTTGGCTGACTTTTGTTACTATTACATGAAAAGCTTCATGCAAGGGCAACTTTTGAGGAAAATGCCTGCTTAAGGATCTTGGAACCTATTCTATCAAAAAGGAAAATCATGCCTAATTGATGTACAATGCTTTGAATGAGTTTTTATTTGTTGTAACTTTTGTTTGAGCAGAGACTAGGTTGTCCCGTGTATGTTTAGTTGGAATCAGTTATTGTACATGAACATCCTTTTGGTGTTAACCTAACTTTCATATTGCTTTCCACAAAAAAAAATTGTGTGGGCATGTTGTTCCACCCGTTATCGGGCCGCTATCGGACCACCCATTAATGTCTAGTCCCACGCTTGAGATGTATATATCTTGGCGTGAGGAGGTGTGTTGGAAGTCCCACATCGACTAGAGATAAGGTCAATTTATAGTATATAAGTGAGTGCAAATCTCACCTTACAACGGTTTTGTGAGTATTATAGTATTGTACTATAGAGTTTGTTACAATCTTTATGTTTTCTTCTCAGTTAGTTAGATATTAGTTACAATCTGTTAAATAATACACAGCTATATATAGCTTATCCCTTATCTTTTTGTATCTTGTCTAAGAATTTTACTCAAATTTAAATATTTATCGGACCACCCATTAAAAAATGTCTAATCCCCTACAAGCCGGTTTTGTGGGGTTAAGTTAGGTTTAAAGTCCACACTTCTAAGAGGAGTATTAGAGTAGTATTGTACTATGTAAAACAGTTAGTAGTAGATGTTCTTAAATGATTGAACAGTTTAATAGCCACTTAGAGTCTGTTACAATCTTTATGTTTTCTTCTCAGTTAGTTAGATATTAGTTACAATCTATTAAATAATACACAGCTATATATAGCTTATCCCTTATCTTTTTGTATCTTGTCTAAGAATTTTACTCAAATTTAAATATTCTTATTTATTTTCTCTGAGCCTTAACAATAACAAGCCGGTTATGTAGCTAAAAGCCTAAGAGATGAAGAAGAATGATCAAGCAGCATACCTTTGCTCTCAGCAGATAAGAGATGCTCCTTTGCCATTGCTGGGGCAACCCCTAGTGTCCTTGCAGCATCACTAGCACTTATCCCAGATCGAAGAGCATCAGGTTTCATTACAAGCATCTTGACTTTATTGAAAACCTAAACCAAATAGCAGTTAGTCATTTTAGTCAAATTTTACCACCTACCATTTCCACATTAGTAAAAGTTGAAGTAAAGATGAAAAAAGCGTTCATGAAGACTGACAACCTAAAAACATAAAATAAGGAAAACCCATCATATTTAATATAAAAGTCACAGTGAGGAAGATTGATATCATCTAAATATAATCTTATGTTCACGTAGCAACCTATTAAAGGTAAGATAGAAGAATCTAATAATATAAATCTATAATTTGGCATACGTCATATAATCCATTACAGATAAAAACTCAATTAAAAACTAAGGGGAGATCCAAACATCTACTTTAGAGCTCAAATAACAAGGTGAAATGTTTTGTAAAATAACTGCAGTTGAATTACTTTTCACATAAGCAATTGGAAAGGGAGAAAGCGGTTTACTGCTTTGCACAAACTACTGATCAAACTAATCAAAAGGCCATATAACTGGATTACTGGTTGAATCCCAGGTCCAGTAATCCAACCAGAAGTGATATAAACTGCAAACAACCAAATGTATGCAAGAGTAACTAGCTAGTTCATCCTCTCATATCATTTCTTTAAAACATTTGTTAAAATGTGAACAATATTCCAAACATAAAAGCTAAAAAAAAACTTAAGGCAAGTGAAATTAAAGATGTGTCAAAGAAGTTTGATACAAATATGTTTTCATTAATAAAGATAAATTGCTATGTAAATATAAATAAGAGAAGAAAATTAGTGGTAAGTTAGGCCGATATTGCTAGTAAGGAATTTATAACTGCAAGCAGACAGGTAATGTCATAACATGATAAAGCATGGTTCTTGTACATTTTCCACAGATTGAAATGATAATCAAAATGTGCTGTGCACAGTTTATCTGATTTGTGTTTCTCTTTTCCCTCTCTATCCTCTCCGTACTGTTATTCTTCTTTTTCCCTTTTTCTTTCTTTATCTTTTCCAGTTAAAAATCTAAAACAGTGATAACAAGATCCCATTATCCATGGCTACTATATCTTCTACAATAACGTGGCAGCTTGGCTCATTTTCAATCCTAGTAGGGTTGCTATAGAGCCTGATTTCCAACCTTGGCATACCCCACCTACATATCCCTTCTAAACATTCAGTCATCAGGTGATCTATTAGGGAGTGGAGAGTTTGAGAGGAGAAGGAAGAGTTAATGTCTTAACTGTTTTGGCAGTTAGGAGAGGCGGGAAGTTAGGAATTGTATAAATAGAGTTAGGTACATTGTTTTGGGTAGCTTCTAACATTAGTTTGTATAAACAGGAACATTTGTCCTGTGGAGGGGGATTAGGCTCCTGTATATTGGATGTACATTGAACCTTGTTGAATTGAATACAGAAAACCATTCTTTTAAAGTTTGATTTCTTGTTTGTGAGTGCGTGAGTGATTGTTCTAGATAGGTTTTACATCCAAAAACCTATCAAATTGGTCTGACCTGCCAAATCCAATTTGGGAGAGAAAGGCGAAATGGAGGGAAGAGTCGAAGGGCGATTGAACGTAGTAGAAGGGGAACTAGAGACTATGAAGATTGCAATGGATGGGTTGAAGGCGAAGACAGTAGCAATGCACCAAGACTCTACAGCAATGCGCCAAGACTTGCAAGAAGTCATGCGAATCTTGGGGGAACGAAACCGAAACAAGGAGGGAAACTCGAATGGGAGTCAAGCGTCCGTCAATGAGAACCGGAGGGGAAGGCGAGAAGAAGACGTTGGAGGGAGAGAAGTCGAACACCATGAGGGGCAACCCAATTGGAGGAGAAGGGTTGAATTACCAGTCTTCAAGGGACTCGACCTGTTGAATTGGATTAATAGGGCTGAGAAGTTTTTCGGGTGGCGGAGGAAGAAAAGGTGCACTTGGCCTACATCAGTATGGAAGGTAGCGCTGGCAATTGGTTGAAATTTTGGAAGAATAAAGACAAGAATCGTTCTTGGGAAGGCCTAAAGGGAGCAATGATCATGAGATTTGGAGGTAGGAACAGGGGTACCATCTTTGAAAGGCTGGCAGCAATTAAGCAGACTGGGACCGTAGAAGAGTACATTCAAGATTTCAAAATCTTGGTGGGTCAGACAAAGGGAGTGTCAGAAGAGCAGTTATTAGGTATTTTCTCACAAGACTACAAGAAGGCATCCGAAATCAAGTTCGACCCCATGATCCGCATGAGTTGATGGTGGCTATGAGGATCGCAAGGGATGTAAAGGAGGCTCTCGGCGGTGCGAAGGCTGGGAACTGGAGTGTGACCAAGAATCAGTCCTCTTGGGGGCATACGACTGGAACGGTGAGGCGATCCGAGAATAGTCGTAATGTCCTTGATGTGTCCTAAAGGACGTTTTCTGGACATCATCCTCCCCCATGCGAATCTGGTGATACCCACCCTTCAAATCTACCTTGGAGAAGTATTTCACCCTCTCAATTCATCC